ATTGATGCACCGTGGTTGGTGAGTCAGCATGGCTCGGTCCACTAGTCGATGTCGGGAGTCTTCAGTCGGTTGAGTTAGTTGCCAAGGTTGATCACGCCCACAGGATGGGATGCTGACACCGGAATGTTGATTGGCGTCTCTCGATCGGGATGCTGGTTCACGACTCTCGGTCGGGATGGTCGCGACTCAGGGGGTGGCTGCTCTCCTACACATAAGGCCCTCGTCGGGTGGTTACTGACTTTGGCCCCTCAACGAGTAAGTCAGTGCTTGGTTGGTTTTGTTTGTCTTTTTTCTCTCCCTTGGCTGGATGTCGGCCATAGGTTTTTAAACTACTGTACGAGGGTCGACCGTACGCGGGTTTGGCATGGCGGTCGATCCTCGAGGGGCGAGACGATACCTTTGTGCGGTCGTCGTCCTGGGACACACGGAACGGCGCCATACGGCGTCGTCCCGAGCTTTCCAAGACGGGACGTACTGAGGAACGCCTTAATACGGATTCTGGCTCGGCGAGTGGGAGTGCTCCTCTTGCTGACCTGGCGATGGCGTGGCGTGGCATTGATTATGATGTGGCCAAAACCCAAAACATACCTTATCAAAGGTGATATCTAATACAAATTTGGATTAAATGTTAAGAATCATACAGCATTATAATTTTTTTCTCAAAAACAAAAGAATGGTTCTCCAGTCCCTATAGAGGAAAAGCTATGAGCTTGGTGATGGAATAATAGCCGGATTAATCCTTAAAACCTTTGATCAAAATTTATAATATTCAATCAAGAATGAATATTATTTCTTCTTTTTTTTCTATTTGATTCTTACTTTTCTTCTTATTCATCGCATATGTGAAATATACTAAACTAATTAAACTTATTTAAATAATAATAATAATAAACTAAATTGGTTCCACGTTAACATGTTTTCACTTTAGAAAGCTTTTACATGGCTTGTGGACACACCAAATCCAGCACTCTGTTCTCGAAGGATCAGTCGGACATTTTTGTCTGCGTCGATGATCGGAAGAGCCTATCAATTCGACATCTATTTCTCCCCAGCGGTCCAATTTATTCTCTTTAGGGCCAAGAAGCCCATGAAATCGTCTCATTATAAGCTCTGACCATTTCACAGAGTCCACGCAGCAGTCGCCAAACTTCTCTGTAAACTAAAATTATACTTCAGATAATAGCATCGTAAGAAAGAAATAGAAAGAGAAATGATAAAGAAACTTTCCGAGATAAGACAAGGGGGAGCAGCAATGGATGTCTCGTTAGTGTAGCCCATCGATTCATGTGCACGAGGACCAACTGGGCGTGGCTAACGGCTGCATGCTACAACCATCCATGGAAGGACAGGGATTAGCTCAGAGTTTGCAGGTAGCAGGGGGAGTAGTACATGGAGAGGAGCGACGTCGGCCTTGTCGCTCATCAATCTCTCTCTCTCTCTCTCTCTCTCTCTCTCTCGTGCGCACGTCAATTGAGGCGTCTGATGTCCGCCCGATCAGACCCCCTCCCTGTCCCCGCAGCATCTCCAGCTTGCATCTCTTGCCCTCCCTCTACGTGCTGCTACAGCTAATCATAATAATACCTCCAATGAACTGTCACTCGGCACGCGATTTAAAGCACAACCCATCAAGGGATGACGGGATGAGCGCAGTTTTTTCCCTCTTCCTGGCTCCAACCATGCATCGATCTCTCCGGGGCCTGTGGTGAAGAAGCATGGCGACTGATGCAACACGGGAACGAACAATCAACAGCGAAGTCAGCTAGGCGGGCTCGATGTTACGATCCTGAAACCCTACATTCCAACGAGAGGCCATCCTCGAGAACATGGGGTGGTGGTGGCAGTGGGCTCGCTCAGCCGAAAGGGAGAGGACATAGGCATCGCCGGACCCTCTTGACATCTAGAGATACGTGTCCTCCTACTGCGGACAGCGAGGGGAAGGGGAAGGGGCCGAGATAAGAACAGATGCTTGAGACTGTGTACTCGCCATAAAGTTTCAGCAGCGGCTGGACCACCTTGAAAACGAGAGCAGGCCTCATGCACACTTTCTTTGCCTTGCCTGATTCCTCGGGGAGGAGCTTTGCACACATGCTACAGCTGCATGTGTACCATCTGCTGTATGCCTCAGCATGAATCCGGGGCAGACGTCTCTGTGTGCGCCTTCACCTACTCTTGTTGACAATTCGAGCTGATGGTGGAAGAGCTTGTTCCCATGTTCATCCCCATTTCCAGATGCCTCTGTGTTCTCCACACTGCATGTGTATAGTTACTTCCCAGTCGCTAGTTAATTTACTGCCTGGCATTTGCTGTCCATGGATGTAGAAAGAACAACAGATATATTCACTGCAATCGAGGGCTGTCTCTGAACCAGACTTCCAACAGTTCCTTGGCTTGTGTTTTCTTGAAGAAGGCAAACCTCACACTCATGGATTCTATTCACAAACGATGAAACGCGCTGAGGAAAAATAAAATCATTATTGGCAGCCAATTATGACAGTCACATTAGTACTTGTAAGATTCAGGTGACTTGATTCACCATAGAGAGCTTCTGCTGCAGCTACATCATAGTCACAGAATCAATACATGGATGTTAGACTGAAAAGCATTGTGCCAATCAAGCTGGTTGAAATGTCAGTCGTTGCATAAATTTCTATAAATCCATTCTTTTTGTGTAATATTCTTTGCCAAGAAGCCATTGGTTTCTTTCTCTTTGGCATTGTTGGTTCTGATTCAGTGTGTGCAGCAGGAATGGACCTATGCTAGCCTTCTCAAGCCTGAAATTGTATGGCCACTTAAATATGCATCAAACGAGATCTTATCCTTAGCCAACTACACATGTAACGCATGATCTATGACCTAAGTTTCTTCATCCTAATAATCCTATTACGTGATAGAGAATCAACTGGTTGACAAGGAGAAATCTTGATACGCTTATCTATCGTATCGATCATCCTATGATTCAAGGGTAATCACCCTGACTAATTAGCATGATTAGAGGACCAAGCTCCTCTCAATCTATATAAATGTACAACATCATTCATCATCAAGCAACATAATACAAATCATTCCATTATGTATTCTCTTCCTAGTATCAAAGCCTCCTTGCTTTAAGCAAGAAGCCTCACTCCCTTTCCTCATCTCTCTAGTTGATGTCTGTTCTGTGGACGATTCTCTATCAATACATAATACTGCAATGGTAAGACTTGTGTGTCTCCAAATCAGGCCAAGAATGTGCGCATAACAAAAACAAGAACATATCTTTCAACTAAGCAGACATAGTTATGAAATGCAATGAAACCATCTTAGCTAATGATTAAGCTATTATGTCAGAAGAACTCACTGCTATTGCAAAAGGAAAGCATCAATACCCGAGTGTGTATTTCTCTGCATGTTGGAATATTCAACATACAAAACTTCCAAGCTTCTAATCCATATAAATACGGGCATGCCCAAAACACAAGTTTGGAACTTCCAATCTACATGGAACTTGATATCTTTGTCATCGGTTCTTTCATGACCAGTAGATTGGAGAAGAGAGACCCAACATGACCATATACAACACCAACCGATATGAGTACTGCAAGACTTATAGACATGTGTACAACCTTACAAAATCAATAAAATAATTCCCACATTATAATTGGGTTCTTTATCCAACTAGGAAACAATCATCTTATTGTAGTTTGAAGAACAGTCGCAACATATTAGTAGCCATGTTGCTTTTTCTTTATCAAAAGCATGACCGAATTCGATGATGATGTACTCAGTATGCAACAATTAGGCTAAAAACTATGTAAATTAAAAGGCACCTACAAGAGTGAAGAGCTTAAAGAAATATGATTTATGAAGATATAGAGACATATTAGATTGTCACTATTCTAGCTATGAGCAACCCCATGTCAACATTTGGTGTATTTCATCCAACATTAGCAAGGAGCTAGGTGAAGATATTATGGCTAGTATATGTTGAACCCTACTTTTTCTTACCAGGTAGAAGTCATTAATCCTCATTCCAAATCCTAGATTGCCTAGTGAGGGAATATGCAATAATTCTTCGGGATCTTAATGTTTTGATTCGCGATGATGCGAATGGCTGTATTTACTTTTGTTACCTCAAGTAAGGTTTAGGATTGGTTTTTTTTTCCTTATAGAAATGGAAGTATGAATGTTGAAATAACCAGTGATGTGGCACTTGAGAAAGATAAAAGGAGAAGACACTGACACATTCTTTAAAGAAGCAAGCAATGTTGTTTAAGAGATCCATATGGATGTTACTTACTTGAGGCATAGCAAGGAAGAAAAAGAAGAAAAATGCAGGCATTGAAACAAGAAGAGCAAGTTAATATTCCTAAGGTTGTATATTTGATGCAGAATTGGAAAGCAAGATTTCTACCAAGTAGTTGTATGCGGAAAACAAACATGGTTATGATGGAAAGCTTTTGATGTTGGAGATGATGAATGCCAACCAAAAAGGGGATTTAGCTCTCCACAGTTGCTTTCGCTAATAATTCTTCTTCTTCAATTCCTTTTGCACTGTTAGTGAGCAGTAAGAGCATCAAAAAGCTTGTCAAGTCAACATATACAGCCGCTGGTACTCAATTTGCAGCAAAAGCAAAGCTGATCCAACTTTAACAGCCTTTAAATGAAGTGGCAGAAGATAAGGAGACTTATCTTCTTCATTCTGCTCCCTTAATTCATAAGAGTCCAAAGAAAGTTCAGAAGACATTAAACTAGAAAAACCTATCCTTTTTGTTTCCAAGGAAAAAAGCAAGACAGGACATGCTTGCAGCTATATATGCTCATCATTGTTAACTTATGATGCATGGATTGTAACATAAAGAAAAAGAAAATGGATGGAGAAGGATTTAGATCTGACCTCTGCTGCACCAAACCTGTCCGGCCGTCCTCCACTTTAAGGAATGTCGAGTTGACTGCTTTGGAACTATCTGAGAGATAATTAGGCAAACAATGGTTGGAAAGCAAGAACATTGAGGCCAAGAATGTGGGATATATTGTGGTAACATAGGTTCAGTAGATTAGAATCCTATGTCGGCTTTATATCTTGGATATATGTACAACTGGAAGAGAATATTATCAGGAAGGAAATGACTTTAATCTGCATAAACTCTTCTGTTCTTCCATTTCTTGAAGTATGAAAGAAGCAAAAATAATAGAGAAGGAACCTTCCATGCTTTGGCCAATCGATACGGAAGGTAATGGCAATAGATATCATCCCCTCTTTTTTGGTATCCATCTCCTTCGTAGGTCAAGATCCAACGAGGATTGCTGCTACTTGCTCGTCGACGAAGATGAAGCCAACGAGGACTCGACGCTGCTGTGTTGATTTTGGAGAGGAGGGAGAGCAGACGCCTCTGGCGACGGTAACCAACTCGGAGATGTGCGTTCGCTGCGGGGGACGGGTTCACCTTCTGAGCCGGCGCAGACGAGGTTTACCCCAAACAGCCTTACGTTTTTGGCCGTGGCCTGGTCGTGGACGACAGGCGCCGGGTCAAGAACCATGGAGAGGCCACCGGAGTGCATCTCGACCGGTGGCGGCGCGGTGAGTGGAGATCGAAAGAAAATGAGCTGGCCCCCCAAAGCACCCGGACTCATGACATTGCATCCATACCCCTGGAGGTGTTGGTCGTACGCCGTCGTCGTCGGAGGAGGAGGAGGAGGAGGAGGGGGCATGAAGAGATGGGTGCCCCACGGTCCTACGGACCGCGCAAACGAGACTCCAGGGAAATAAATCTGCGGCATCCGGGCCGCGTCATGGTTGCCAGGCCTCCGCTTCCAGTCGATGTACAGCTGGTCGCGGCCGGAGTCGCCGAGGCCACGACCGAAGGAGACGGTGTCCCCGGCGTGGAGCCGCTTCTCCTTCACGAAACGGCTCCATCCCTTGGTCATCACGTAGCTCTGGCTGCTGCTCCAGTAGGAGTACCGGAAGCGCCACGACTCGCCGTTGCGGTCCTCGAAGCTGAGCAGCAGCCCTTTGCCGTTGTCCCCCGCGTCCAGCGGGAAGTACTTCTCCGCGTGCTGCTTCGGGATCACCAGACGGTTGAGCTTGCCGACGTCGCTGGGCGTCACCACCTTGTCGAACATGTGCTCCTTCTCGACACAAGACTCTTCACCACGGCCGCTGCTTCCCGATGAGCCGTCGTTCCACCTGAAAGGAGCGACGGACGACGGCGGCAACGACGGCGAGGAGGAGGAGGAGGTAGAGGAAGGCACAAAAGAAGCATGTTTCCGGGCGTCTTGTTGCTCGGTCATGCGAGACATATCTCTTCCACGAGTGAACTCCATCCGCTGATTTCCTCAAACCTCAAAGACTCCCTCAAGACACCAAAACCAAATCGATAGCAGGAGAAGGTCTCCAATCCTTGTGTCTGATCTCTTCCTCCTCTCCTCCAATTATCCTTTGAGATCTAAAGAAAGGGTTTCTCCCGTGCGATGCTAAGAAAGAAGAGAAGGGGGTGGAGGGTCGGCACCTTCGTTTTTGACTAGGAAGGGATGTCGATCAGGAGAGCTCCCATCGACTCCTCGGGAAGCGGCTGAGATTTTGGTGGTGCAGTAGTACATTTGCTGTGTTTTCTTGGCTTATCTCTTTGTCCTGCCATCCCACTGCCTCCGAAGGTTCCCGGAAGGAAGGGGTGGGGTATTTGTAGCTTCTAACAATCCATGCTGCTGCTGTGAGGGTAGAGAGAAGCACAGCAGTAAAGGTAGCTTCACAGTAGATAGAATAGTAGGTTTATAAGGGACGGAGACGGGTGAATTATCGATCCGGCTGGATTCATGTGGTGGTCTTGTCCATTTCATCATATGGACCGGAAATCCATAAACAAGAGAGATGGCTTGTGATGAGCGCCACCACTGCAACTTGTTCTAAACAACAGAAAGCCGGAGTCTGATTTCCCAAAAATAATCTCACACCGCACCATATCTTACACAGTTTGTGTTTGATATCACACCCCTTCCCTTTGTTTATTTATTGATTTGGACGCTACTGTTTAACGATATCCGAGGCTATGGAGGACCGGCGGTAAGGAGGAAGAAAGCCAGGCTCGGTCTTGTCTGAGAATGATTTGACTTTTAGGTGACACGGTTCTTATTTTTTATTTACTTGCTGTTTCGTTAGCTTAAGTATGGAGGAGACATCTCAGAAGCAGGACAGATTAGAGGTCTTTCTCTTACCCACTTGACTCAATCTTCTTCTCTACCATCACAAAATCCATGGAGGAGCCCAAAGATTTGCAGGAGAAGAACGTGGGATTTGCATAGATCTTGTGACTGAATTCTACATTAAAATAAAATTAAAAGTTATATTCCTATTACATTAAATATTAAATATCTCTATCATTTCTGTCCGACAAAGACAAAAAGAGAAGATATTAATATAGTATAGTATTTTAAAAAAAATATTTTTTTTTCAAAATAATTAAATATAAGATTATTTTTATTAAAAAATGTTGAAGAAACTCTTATAGAGAATAGTCAAAAACCTTGACATTCAAATGTTTCTTTCTAAATTTGTTGTTTGATGACAATAATTTCTAGTGAAAGTAGAACAGATCATTGAGATACCTTTTTCATTTGGAGGGTTTGAGAGACTAATAAGCCAAGAGAAATCTAAAGTGCTTCATTTTACGGTGGCTAACTAGTCTACCCTAACATGTGTTGTTTTGTATAGAGTACTAACATGCATTTGATATGGTGCAATGAACATGAGAATGATGTTTGACAACAAATGAGCAACAATTTCGACCTTGGGCGAGCCAACCATCTTGTTTGTTTCTGCGCAGATTGCTTCTTCACGTGCCGGTGGCTGCTCATGGTGCTTTCACTGCCTCTGGCCACAGGAAACCACATAGAAATCGGTGACCCATAACTATACGTGCAGAAAGTTGGAGCACTGATGTCACTTCACCGATGATCCATGCTTTCTGCACATCGTATGTTATCCGAAGGAAGCTTAGAGATGGAAGAAAAAGTTGTGATTCGACGGTAGAAAACACACACAAAATTTGTCTACCAAACACGCCATGTTGAGGAGAAATCTTTACACAATGGGGGGCTGCTCCCATGGCGAAAAGATGAAACAATGATGCTTAGACAACTGCTACAGGATGGGAAGAGGACAAAGTTGATGAGCTTGTGAGAAAAGCAGCACTCTTCAAATTGTCCCCCACCCGCATAGAACACCACGTGGTTTCGTGGTGTGATCGCCATTCGCTGGATGAGAAGTTGCCATCACAATGAGTGCCGATCGAGCCCTGAGATCTGCTTCACCGGCTTCTCCTGCATCCATTACCTTGTTGCTCTCAGCATGCAGTAGTATACAGCGGACTGCGTTGCCTGGTTTCCGAAGCTGGCTCTGACCGAGTCCAGACCGAGAGAGCATACCTGGGGACACTCTTTCATCAGATCGCTGGAACTTGCATTTGTTTATTCTGATTCGATCACGAAGGTCCAACACATGTCCAGAATACCTAACTCTCGTTAACATACGCAGGCTTTGCCATTGGAACTTCCGATCCAGAATGAACCACAGTAATATTCTATCGCCATAGGGCGATAGAATATTACCTTACACTGCTGCAGATGCATCTCTCCTGTTCAAGCCATTTAATTCATGGAACTCCGAGGGGAGGGGGGGATGATGCGTCCGCCTTGAACAGATACCAAGACAACAAGTACGTCAGCTGCCCGACGAGGCCTTACGTAGGTGTATGGAACAGATCAAAAGGCGGGAAAAGTGGGATTACTTTAAGAGACAAGATGATAACTTGTTGCGTTGAATACATTAAGGGAAGGTGGCTGTGGCCTTCCCATGTCACCGACTTGTCTCGCGCCTCTCGAGAAGTGCTGCTGCTGCTGCTGCAAAACCCATTATTCGCACCCATGCATGCATGATGCCCATATAAAACTCTTCCTCCTCCTCCTCCTCTGCAAATTCACCGGCTTTGTGTTACTGCTTTTGCTTTTAGAGGAAAGATCGATGTGGGCGTCTGTGCTGAGGTAGAATGGGAGACATGAGCCGTTGGATGTCGATAATATAAGAAGAATTCCACGGTACGGACGAAGGATTAATCTCCACGGCACGAGTGGACTCTTCTTTTCTGGCTCTCCTGCTACTCTTCCTACATATGCTGTCATCAAAAGATGAGATAGGATATGACAAGCACACACGACAAGCTTCCATATATGTATATTTTAGCTAGATGAGAAAGAAATGTGGTCTGTCATTTGGTCAATTGCATTTGTTGATTGTAAATTTAGCAACTAGTGCTTTTGAATGCCTGTTTAACAAATAGAGAACATCCAATGGCAAATTGAATCCACTAATGAACGTGATGCCAGCCAGCTGAGGATTAGATGGACGTATGGATCAACAATGCACAGGTAAACACAAGAATGAAACAACACCTTGATCGTACGAGTAGGTGGTCGCATTCCACTGAAGCTAGATTCTATTAGTGACCCACTAGGGTTTCCAAGAGACCAATTGCTTGGTTGTTGATGCACTCCTCTCTATTCATGAGGAGTCATTTGACCATATCTGCAGCCATGTTAACCACTAATTTCAATGAAGACTATTTTCTAAGGCTTGTTTAGCGATAAACGATAATCAAACGTCGTCGGTAGCTTCGGGCCAATGGCTTGATCCCTTTGGAAAAAAAATAATAATGTGCATCCTTATCTTGATTCTTCGTTAACTCTGTCATTGGTTGATGCCATTAGAAGTAGTAAGAACCAATCAATAGAAATTGTCAGAGTGGAAGGTGAACTTTGTCATATAAGAAGGCATTATACATGTCACACATATCAGTCTTCACTTTACATAAGAGAATCAGATCAAGGCTTTGACTACGATCGTTATGTCACGCATATAGCATAGTTGTACTCTCTGGGGTTGATGAAATATAAAGAACAAAGTTTGAAGTAAAGTACTGAGTATAGCCTAAATGTTGAAACCTTTATCCTTCCTTTCTTTTTCTCCATGCAAAGCTCTTTGGATATAAAAAATTTCTCCAAATTTCAAACGTCCTAATTAAAATGTCACAATATTTTACACCCACTTTTGCAAAAATCAGGTCAAAAACTACTTTTTTTATTGTCTGATTTCCTTTTTTTTTCTTTTATATCGACACATTTTTTTGTTGTGTTTCAATTTCCTTTCAAAAGCCATCCTACCAATTATGTCCCAAAAAATTAAAGTTCATGCATATTTGACAAAATGGTTATCAGAAGCAGTTCTTTGTCATACCTAAATATAAAGATAGGCAATCTGCTTCTTCATTGGTGTTTTTTTTTATTTTACTAAATGTTGAATAAATCAATGTGTTAATCACCACAAACTTGACCTAAATATGAAATATGTGAGTCCAATTTCTCTTAGTGACACCTTATTCTCTTTAAACTTAAACTGCTCCTGTTGTGAGACTGATAAAAAATGAAATGGCCTTAGATAATGTTGATATACAGTAATTCTATTTGAGGAATCACTCTTCAAATATTTTTTGGTGAAAAGTATCAAACACTTTCTTAATTTTTTTGATTTAATCAAAAAGTATAATAAGATTCCTACTAACCATCATAGCTTGTATCTTATATAAGGCAACATGCCACATTTATCAGTTGGCATGAGAAAATTTTGAAGTTTCAGGAAAATTCAATGACATGAAGTCATATTACTTACTGTATGTGGCCAAGAAAGATTAGGACATTTGAGCTGTATGTGGCTAAGAAGATATGTAAGATTGCAACTAAATATGTTCTATTTAACATATCAAATTAGATTAAAAGCAGTGATCCTGTTGCTACGAGTAGGTTCGATACCGACGGTATCTAATTCGGTGGTCCAACTATCGCGACTGCACTACCATATTTGTTTTATGAAAGTTGTGAATTTCGAAAAGAACAACAAAGCGAGGTAAGATTCAAACTAAATCAACTTAAAGAGTATAATATGTTTTCTTTTGGTCCTCGACTTGCTCACCTATGTTCTTATGCATTTAGTACTTGCTTTAGTTGCTCAACAGCAAAGATTCTCTCTAATAGGAAGCACAATTGTACTTGCATTAGCTGATTAATAGCAAAGTTTCTCTCTCAAATCTGTTCATATAATTCATTCATATCACCTACCACAAGAGATGGTGTGACTTGTGCTAAAATTTGTTCCTTAGGATCGTGTGTGTGTGTGTGTGTGCATCCCATTTCACAACAAGTATCAGATTCAATTTGATGACCCTATGTGTGTGTGTGTGTTTCACAACAAGTATCAGATCCAATTTGATGACCCTGTGTGTGTGTGTGTGTGTGTGTGTGTGTGTGTGTGTGTGTGTGTGTGTGTGTGTGTGTGTGTGTGTGTGTGTGTGTGTGTG